TTTCTTTGTGCTGCCATGGGTTTCGTCTGAGAGAGGGGTAAAAACCAGGCTCAATGGAAGAGGAAAGAGGTTATTTTCCACCACAGCCTTCTGTGGGGAAGTGGTATCATCCAGGCTTGGATGAATAGAGTATCCCTGAGGTCTTGGACCTCTCCTCTGGTACAGGTTCAAACAGCTCCTGCTGTGGTAGACAATTGCCTGTGCTATATTTCTTTGGTGGGTTCAGCTCTCCAGCCTCCATGCAATGATTTTCAGTTTCCACCCTGTCCTATACGTGGCAACAGCTTCCCCAGCATCTCCTCCCCCTGCCAAATCCTGCTGGAGCCATAGTGTTTGGCCAGCTCACAGGGTGCAGAGGGGATGTTCATTCCTGTATCAAATCCTAGAGGCTTCTTCAGGAAGGAGGTGGCGTTGGGGGATTGTTTCATCCCCCAGATCGAAGGCTAGTTGAAGGCAGATTTTGTCATCCACCCTCGTCACACCTGGGAGGGAGTCACTAGCGCCCAGTTTAGGGCTCTTGAAGCTTCCAGGAAAGACAGGATCAGCAGCTTCACAGCAGTGCAATCCGCTTTGTGTCATGGCCCCGAAACCTAGAAAGAGAAAGAGAAGAAGGTTGAGGCTCTGAAGTTGCTCTGAACTGTGCCGAGGGCAGGACTTGCACTTGATGTCCCTGTCCCTTGGCATCCCCAAAGCAGGACCAGCGTGTTCTGCTGGGGCATGCTCAGGATGGGTGACCTGATCCCGCTGGCCCTGCCTTGAATGGGGTTTGAACTCCAAAGCACATCCTGCTACTCATGGTGTTGCCTACAGAGAGGGAAGGAACTGATTCACCAGCAGAAAAGGGCAAGAATGGGGTAAATTCATCCGGTAACTTACTTTCCGTGAGCCATTTGACCAGTGTATTAATTATGAAGTAGTCTCCCTCGTAGAGTCAGGTGGCAGTGCAAGCCTTCAGGGGCCTTTCCACTTAATTATAAATATTAATTTGTGTGTCAGCCAGCCAGCCGGCACCTTCCCTGCCCCAGATTTTGAGCTGAGATTAGTCTGTCTCCCTCCACCCAGCATCCCCCAGATCTGCTCACCTGCAGTGGTCCTTGATGGAAATGATTGAGGGATGATCAGTTTGATGAATCTGAGGGTCAATCTGATTATTTTGAGGGTTCAGCCTTTGCTTGGTGTCCCTGATGTGAAGCCCTTTGCATCCAAGCTGTGTGAGTTGTCCCCAAGGGCTGAGGCTTCAGGGCTGCTGGTGCTGCTCCCAGTGGGCTGGTGGGAACGGGAGCGGGCACGATGCTCAGCCCCTGGCACGGGCAGCGGGGACATGGTAGGTGCTGCAGTAGATGATAGTCCCTGAATTTGGTGCTGGTTCTGTGCTAGCGAAAGGGCTCTTGTGTGGGCAGGGTCACTGAACGTGGCTCACGGTTTATTCTGCCAAGTCCTGAAGAGCAGAGAGTCGTTTTTGATGTGATGATTTTTTTTTTTTCCCTCCCCTCACTTGTGTTGCCCCCATCCCAGGAAAAGAAATCTATAGGTGCAGGTCTTCAGCTGGAGGCGAGGGCATGAGCTTCGCTCAGCTGCTGCGAGCTGGAGCTGTGCCCGAGGGCTGAGCATCCCTCCGCCAGCAGCCAGCCCCAGAGCCTGCAGGTGTGGTGGTCCCAGCGGGAGCTTGCCCTTACCTCTGGAGCAGGGAAATTAATAAAATAAAATAATCATCTTGGTTGCAAACACACAAAGCGTTGGATTTGTGTGTTGTTTTTCCCCCCCAGCATGTTTTTGTCTGCTGGTGATTGTTCGCTATTCAATTATACTTTGGGGATTAGCATATATTTCCCATCCTGCCTCCTCTCTCATTTGCATTCTTCCAATAGATCCTCTCTGCTCTTTTCTCCACCTGAAGTCTCTTCCCCCTTTCCTCTGAAGAAGTAAGACTAACCCCTTTGCCTGGGTGACCTATAAAAACGCCTTCACTTTTTTTTTTTCCCCCTTCTTTTTTTTCTCCAGTACATATGATGAAAAGCATGAGATCATTGGGATTTTTTTAGCCCAATCTGGCAGCTTTTTCAAATAACTTGGATGGTGAGATGTAATTTTAGTTTGGGTCCTTGCCTAAAAATAAAGAATAATTATTAGCACATCAGACGTGGATATTGTAAGTGTTTGAAAAAGGTTTAAATTGTTCTACAGATACCGGAGCTGCCTCCCTGTGTCAGCACGAAGGTTTGTCACAGCCCAGGTACCATCTCTGCACCATGCATCCCAAGGAGCTATAACAAACCTTAATGTGTGTCAATAAATAAATCAAAAATGGGTAGTGCTGGGTGATATGCATGACAATCTGGAAAAAAAAAAGGAAAAGAAAAAAAAAGGGGCATGCTTAGAGGGTTAATACGTGTTTAACAGGTGAGATGCAGAAGTCTGAAGTGGGGGAGGGTGTGTGTGTGTATTTATTATTAGTTGTAGCGTAGTGGTGTCTGCATGTAGCAGCAAAGCCTGGCTATGAGGGAGAGGTGATGTCTGCTATTTAGAGCCACTGAAGGGCTTGAGGAAAGGCAGGCAGAAGCCATCCTTCCATTCTTGTAAGCTTGCTTGATTTTTTCCAGCCACCTCAACTGGTCTGAAGGTGGTCCAGGATTGCTCAGACCCTGCTCGGAGGTTCTGGGGTGCCTGGGTGCTCTGGGATGGGTGGTTTTGCCGGGAGCAGCTCGGGCAGCGTGTGCTCCCAGTGCATCCACCCTTGCCGGGAGCCACAGCCGTGCCCCCAAAAGGATGTGCAGGCACCTTTCTGTTGCCGGGTCAGGAGACGCATCTGAAGCGCAAGCACCTCGCTCTGGTGATCTGTCCGAACCTCTTTCTGAAAGAGCTCGTGATGTCTCTTGTCCCCTAGCGAGGACAAGGAGCATGTCAGCTTGCCACAGAGGAGTCCCATTCTTAGCAGCTAATTTAGAGCGCTGGGAAGTGGTGCCCTGAAATCACCTGAACCTTGCCTGGAGGCTCGGTGCGACGGCTCCTGAGCCCTTCAAATAAATCTAGGTTAGCGGAGGACTTTGCGGCCAGGGCGCTCTGCTCCCCTCCGCTGCGATGGGCAGCCCCCGATGGTTCTGCCCCGGGGAGGAGATGTTTGGTGGAGCTGGGAGCAGTGACAGTTTCACCTCCATCCCTCCACCTGGCTCTGTAGGACCACAACTCACGCCACTTCTGTGGTGGTAGGAGAGAGCTGTTGATCCTATTCTGTGGCCTGACGTCTTCTAGCTGGGCTATTCGTGGTTCTGGGCTTGCACTGGTGAGCCCTCGAGGGAGGGGCTGGAGCCTGCGTCCAGCCTAGGAGCATCTCAGGTCTCCTGGAGGTGCTTGGCCCTGGCTGGAGTCGGCACAGGGGCTGCAAAATGCCTTTCTCCATCCCTTTGGGAGGCTGGTTGGACATCAGGCACTGGGACATGAGGAGCAAAAGCTGAAGGAGGATCTCAGGGTCTCCAGCGTGGTGTTGGGTACACTATGTCCTCTACGCCAGCGTTTTGGGGAGCTCTGGGTTACCCTGCTCTTGCTGGCAGATTGCGTGAAGGAGATGAAAGCATCTGTGCTTTTCTTTCTCCCACGTGCTGCTGAGTGGCCGTGCTTTATCACACTTATTGATTTCGATCTTACAACCAATTTAACGACGCAGCTCTCCCCAGCCTCTGGGTGCTCCTGACTTAATTAAGTCCCTTTTCTGCTCTCCTGTGGGTAGCGGGACTGTGCCGAAAGGGGATGGGAGAAAAGGAAAGGGGAAAAGGTCCCTGTATATTGTTGGGAATAAGCTGCCTGATACACAGGGAGTTGTGGATGGTGCATCCCAATTGCTGCTGGGACCAGGTCTCCTTGTGCTGGGACAGGGAGGAAGAGGAGGCTGGGAAAAGGAGTTGGAGCAACCTGGTTTGCTGATGTGAGAGCGTTCTGCTGCTGGGGTATCCTAGGAAACCCAGCTGCCTTTCTGGAGGGGCATGTTGGTACCTGCTGTACCTCGGGGAGAGGGGGAGAGAAAGAGTGCTAATTGCTCAGCGCGCCAGAGAGCTGCTCTGGCCTGTAATTAGATGAATTAGTGGAACAATGACCCAATTTCCCTCAGTTTTTGGATTGCTGCAAACAACCATGAGGTTGCTGCCTCCCTCTGTCCCGCTCTCCTCCCTGTCTCCTCCTCTTCCATGCCCTGCTCCTCCACCACAGCCCTCCCTCTTCATCCTCCTCCTCCTCACCCAGCTCCCAGGGGACCAGACCTGGGTGGGAGAGGAGACCATGAGCTCCAGCACTGCTCTCTGTGCTCCTGCAGCTCTGCCAGCATCTCCAAGCCACACCGTCCCCTCAGCGAGTGCAGCAACTCCGAGTATTTCCACTGCCCCAATTTGTTTTCCAGAGATGGGCTTGAAAAAAAAAATAAAATCTTTGTGCTTTCAAAGAAAACCTCTGGAGTCCTTCCTGCGCCTGCCGCTTGCCTTCCAAGGTCATCAAACTTTCATTACTATAGATTTTTGAATGCGTGTGAGGTTCTCTGCTCTTTCTGAACAATCTCAGAGGTGGGATTCTAAGGAAGCTTCCTGTGTGGAAAAAGACAGCGCAGCTGATGGCTGGAGGTTCTGCTGGGGTGCACCCTTAGCGTGCCCCTAGGGTACCACCTCTGGACTTTGTGCCACCTGCCTGCAAGGCAGGTTAAACCTACGATCACGGCGTCGGTAGCGTTGAAACCCCACAGTGCGATTGCACGGCGTGGGGTGGTGGCCAGTGTGATACTGCCCCCAGCCATCCTGGTATATGGGGGGGCTGTCAGGGCTGGGGGGCTCCTGGGGTTGCTTTGGCTGACCATGAGCTTTGGCGCCAGTGTCAAAGGGGGCTTTGAGAGGCGCTGAACCTCTGTACCTGCCCAGGGTATGGTCTTCCTCATGGCTTTCCCCAGCCCGGCATGAGAACGGGGCTCTTGGCACCCGAGC